TCTCTAAGTCCTGTAGACCTCCTCCTCCCTTCTCCCCTCTCCTTGTTCCTCTCTCCTTTACATCATACAAAGATTGGATGTCTGTAGAAGAGGGACCAGGCTTGCCTGGAGAGAACACATCGCTGGAGAGATTAGACTGAGACAAGTTCTCATTTCCAACATCTACAAGTGATGGTTTAGTAAGAAATAAATAACGTAATAGCACCATTTGACATAGGATTTTGGTTACCTGAGAAGTAGTGACATTAATCCCTGAATTAATTCTGAGAATTTTGAGAAGAAATACTGCTGCAGTACTAGAACTATAGTCAGGGTTACCCATCAGGCTCTGGAACTGGGGGGACACAGGATAAACTCAAGAGTTAACATCTCATCCAGGAAATCTGCCTCCCCCACTTCCCTTCCCTTCCAAGGTCTGTGTTTATTTTAGTAGATAAAGCTCCAGTAGAATATATGGATGTCCCCCAATCAGTTCATCCTGAAGGGAGTTTCCATTAACCAGGAGCTAACAGGAAGAGATTTTCCCTAAATCCCAAAGACACTTGTATTTCAGGCCACCTCTCTAAGTTCATGAAACCCCAGCTGTCCCAGCAGCTACTACTGCTTATTGTAGCAACAAATGGCCAAACATCCTTAGCTCAGCCTCTGACTTTCCTAGTGTTTGCAACTTGTTCTTGTTTCTCCAGTGGGGCCGTTGATGTCATAAGCTCTTGTATAATTGCTTTAGAATATCTAATTTTGCTCATCATTAGAGCTTTTTAAATTTTATTTTCTTTTTTCTTGGTGTTCTTCCCTTACCAGAGCTTTTTTTTTTAAAAAGGGATTTTTGACATGGTTTAAGGATTAAACCATTGTAATACATGTCAAGTATTCCTTATCTGAAATGCTTGGAACCAGAAGTGTTTCAGGTTTGGGGTTTTTTCCAATTTTGGAATATTTGTGTCTACATAATGAGATAGATTGGTGGGGTACCCAAGTCTAAACACAAAATTCATTTATGTTTCATACACACTTTATACACATAGCCTGAAGGTAATTTGATACAGTATTTTTAGTATAGTGCATGAAACAAAGTTTATGTACATTGAACCATCAAAAAGCAAAAAAGACAGCTCCAGAATTTTCCACTTGTGGCATCTTGTCAGCACTCTAAAAGTCTTGGATTTTGTAGCATTTCAGATTTGGGATTTTCTAGTTAGGGATGCTCGGCGTGTAGCATCTTGAGTCTCTACAAATGATACAAGATTGTCAGATGAAAATAATTCTGTGTGTGTGTGCATGCATGTACATGTTAAAGTAAGAGTAGTAAATTATTGTCCGCTTCTCAAGATGCTTCTGATTTTTCTTCATCTGGAGGCAAGGCTCTGTTCTTCCTTGTTTTGTGCCATAAGCATACTCTGTGCTATGTTACTGAATTTACCCAGTCAATAGAAATAAGCAAAACAAACAAAAAAGAGAAATAATAATGGAACTTGAAGGTGAGAAGAGGCCTAGCCATAGGAGTGACACCATGCCGTCTTACCTTTAGAAACACTTCAATGTGATTTTCACTATCCCCCGTTACACTCGGATTCCAAGCTCATCTTAAAAGTCTCCCCCCACCCCCTCATTTTGGTAAAGGCTTTTTATTTTACATGATAGTTTTATTCTGGATTTTTGTTAATATATTTTAAACTTTTTTGAGAAAGGATTGTTTGTGCTGTTTTTTGTTGTAAATGTAAACCCTGAGTGAGATTAGGGTTTGACCTGTACATGAGGCCACAAACTTGGCCTCCAGTCCCTTATTTTCTTTGAAAGAACCGCTATAAAAGCCTGATAAGATCTTGAAGCTTCTGTGGAGCTCAGCTTTAAAACTAAGATTTGTTAGACTTAACTGGTTTTTAAGTTTGAAGTGGAATTAATACAGGTAATTTTAGTTCCTGTTTTGCAAGACTCTTGGTCTTGACCAGGAGTTCAAGACCAGCCTGGCCATCTCTAGTAAACCCATCTCTAGTAAAAATACAAATATTAGCCAGGCATGGTGGCACTTGCTTCTAGTCCCAGCTACTCAGGAGACTGAGGCAGGAGAATCGCTTGAACCCGGGAGACGGAGGTTAAAGCGAGCCAAGATTGCACCGCTGCACTCCAGCCTGGACGCCACAGCGAGACTCTGTCTAAATAATTAATTAATTTTCATATAAATATAGTCTATAAAAAATTGTAGGAAAACACAGATGTTAGCGATATTTTTAAACATGAATTCATAAGGTTATGCTGTGTCACTAACAGAGATGAGAATACATTCCAAATTGCAAAATTCTTGTTTTGCAAAAATTGACAACATTCAAAATGAATTATCCAAAAAAGCAGCTTTTCCTACATTTCTAGTATTTAGGAATTGAAAACTGGATGTAACTAAAATTTTTCCTCTTTCTTTTTTTTTTTTTTGGATGGTGTGTCGCTCTTGTTGCCCAGGCTGGAATGCAGTGGTGCAATCTCGGCTCACTGCAACCTCCACCTCCCAGGTTCAAGCAACTCTTCCTCCTCAGCCTCCCGAGTAGCTGAGATTACAGGCATGTGCCACCACACCCAGCTAATTTTTTTGTATTTTTAGTAGAGACAGGGTTTTACTGTATTGGCCAGGCTGGTCTCAAACTCCTGACCTCAGGTGATCCACCTGCCTCAGCCTCCCAAAGTACTGGTATTACAGGTGTGAGCCACCATGCCCAGCCACATCAAACTTTTTTAAAGGTTTGATTGGTTACTTACCTATTTTTAGTTGAACTTTGCTGGAAGAATTACATTTTTTACCTTTTTTTTTGAGATGAAGTTAAGCTCTGTTGCCCAAACTGGAGTGCAGTGGCGCTATCTCGGCAATATTTACAAAATAGTACAGTTGTCCCTCAGGATTGGTGGGGAATTGATTCCAAGACTTCTGCAGACACCAAAATCTCCAGGACCATATAAAATGGTGTACTATTTGCGTATAACCTATGCACATCCTCTGGTTAACTTTATCTGTAGATTACGTATAATGCCTAATATAATGTAAATGCTCTGTAAGCAGTTGTTATGCTGTTTTGCTTAGGGTGTTAAGGAAAAAAAGTCTGTACATTTTCAGTACAGCTGCAACAATTCTTTTTTTGTTCCCCAAGTGTTTTCAATCTACAGTTGGTTGAATTATGGATGCAGAACCCATGGAATACAAAGGGCAGACCATATATTAAACCCTTTAGAATCCTTGTTGTGTAGTTCTTACAGAATGCACTGTGTATGTGTCTGGCCACCCACAGCCTTTCATACTTCCAGTAGTATTCACTGAAGTAAAGTCTTATGTCTAATGGCACTGTTCTCATAGGTAGGCAGATAAGTTTCAAATAGGAAATTTGCTTATGTATAATTTGATTAGAGTTACTGCTACTTTTCATAATATCTATATCTAGTTAGTAAGTTTCCCAGTCTTATCCTGAACGCTGTAAGTAGTAATTATATGCTTAGATAAAGTAAATTTTCATGGCTGGTGCAATGGCTCACCCCTATCATCCCAGCAGGGATTATAGGAGGGCAAGGAGGGTGGATTGCTTGAGACCAGGAGTTCAAGACCAGCCTGGCCAACATGGTGAAAACCCGTCTTTACTAAAAATACAAATATTAGCCAGGCGTGGTGGCACTCACCTCTAGTCCCAGCTACTCAGGAGGCTGAGGCAGGAGATTTGCTTGAACCTGGGAGACTGGAACTTAAAGTGAGCCAAGATTGCACCACTGCATTCCAGCCTGGGCACCAGAGCGAGACTCCATCGAAATAATTAATTAATTTTCATATAAACATAGTCTGTAAAAGATTGTAGGAAAACACAAATGTTAGCAATATTTTTAAACATGAATTCATAAGGTTATGCTGTATCACTAACAGAGATGAAAATAAATTCCAAGCATCTTGATGCAGTTCTGTTTCTAGCAGAGCTTTTGTGATAATCTGTGTATGTGTTTTTCACTGTATTTGTTAAAACACTTCATTCTTCATTATGAGGCTAGGTTAACTGCCTACTGGTTTCTTAACAATTCCAATAATAGATTTAAATGACGTTTTCCTTTCTTAAACCCATTACCCCATTTAGTCAGATAGATTTTATGTATCCAGATGGTGTAAAGATGTAGAAGTATTTCCATTAATCTTATTCTCTCTTTCTTAGAATTTTTTTTTTTTTTTTTTTTTTTGCGTATATCTCTTGCTAGCAGCTCTGAGAGTTAAGTTTCCATGTTCAGAATTTAATCTATAATTGTTAGAATTACCTCTTATTGCTGCTGTCCTGTCCATTTAAATCATCATATCAGATAATAGAAAGCAGAATTTTTGTTTCAGGGCTTTATGGGGCGAATAGATAAAATTTTTTGTTTTGTGTCTCTTGCCATGTGTATAATAACTTCTTTCAAAATTACCATAGAACAAGTAGCTTACATATATTTGGCTTTAATTGTCCACCTTTCCTCCCCCCTCTTTCAGTAAAATGCCTAATTATACAGATTAAAGATTGATTTTTTAGCGACTCTATTTTAAGACAGAAAAACAACAAACTAATCAATTATGTATTCTTTGTATGTGCAGTACCAGTATTGACCTCTTAAATGTTTGTAAGTTGCTTACAATGTTAGATAATAATGAATGGTGGTTGCCTCTAAGGATTTAAAGCAAAAATTAAAACATTTATTTTCAGTCCAAATACTTTCCCTGTGTTTTCAAATACTCTTCCTGTAACTATATATTTAAATTGGTCTGATATGTTACTTTTTACTGATTTAGAAAGTATATAATTGGTACATTTTATGGCTCAAATTGCAGCTAACACAGATTCATAATTCAAGCTTAAAGATTTACATTTTATGAAAATTTGACATGTGAATTTGACAACGTGTTGTTATTTGTGAATGAAAGCAGTTTTCAGTAGTTTTTTTTTTTAAAAACTGTGTGATCTGAGATACACTTGAAAAAATGAATTAAATTATTTTTGTTTCATATCAAGAAATGGATGAAAAGAGGCTGCTGGATCCAGGGTTGAAGGTTCATAAAGGCCTCTGGGATTATACTCTGAAGAACCCGCAGACGGAATGCCTGAGTGACTGAAGAAAATGGGTGCTAATGCATCTAATTATCCTCATTCATGTTCCCCGAGGGTAGGGGGAAATTCACAGGCCCAACAGACTTTTATAGGTAACTTTCAGTTTTTCTAACTTCATTTTCTTTTGTGACTATAATAGAATTGTGTTTTCGATAGTCTCTGTAGATGACAAAAGAAGTGAGCTGTAGTTATTATAATAATTCTGCAGCATCTAGGTTTTTTTCCCCAACAAATGTAAATCTTAAATCTGGCTTATCTTAAACAAACTGCTTGTAGCACAGTTGAGCTTTTCTGTGTTTTAACCATAATTGCCAATTACCCTAGGCAAACTAGCCATCTCCATTGGTGTGAAAAGAGTGAAGTACATATTTCCTGTGTCTCGTTTCATTTATTTTGCCCATACAAATGCAGACTTGTGTAATTAAGAAGAAAAAGAAACATTTTACAATTATATACAAGTAATATTCTTAATTTACAACTCTGCCTACTTTTCATTCCTAAAAAACCCATGATTAAGATCTATGACAAATGTCCTTTGATAGCCAGGGAACGAAAGACTGTTTCTAAAAAAATTTAGACTAATTTGCCCTGTTTGTCCCTATTTCTTATTTAATATAAAAAATGTAGGCCAGTCACGATGGCTCACACCTGTAATCCCAGCACTTTAGGAGGCCAAGGCAGGAAGATTGCATGAGACCAGCACAGGAGTTCAAGACCAGCCTGGGAAACATTAGTGAGACCCTATCTCTACAAAAAAAAAAAAAAAAAGTTTTTTTAATTAGCCAGGCATGGTGGCACGCGCCTATACTCCCAGCATCTTGGGAAGCTGAGGGTGGGGAGAATCCCTTGAGCCCAGGAGTTTGAGGCTGCTGTGAGCTATGATCTTGCCACTGCACTCCAGCTTGGGCAACAGAGTGAGACTCCATCTCTGAAAGTGAAATTGAATTAAATTGAAAACTAAAATGAGTTATTTGAACTTTTTATCTTCCTTTATAAAAAACAAATGCAATTTTGAGTGGTTCGGTAATGTCTGCTTACAGAGTTTTTCAGCATGAAAAATGTTAAAGTAAACGTTGATAATGAATGTTAAGAAAAAAGAAACAAATTTTTATTTGTTTAATTTTCTTCTTAGGGACATCATCCTATTCTCAGCAAGGCTATGGTTGCGAATCAAAATTGTATAGCCTTGACCATGGCCATGAGAAACCACAAGACAAAAAAAAGAGAACCTCTGGCCTTGCCACCCTCAAAAAGAAGTTTATTAAGCGTCGGAAATCTAATAGGTCTGCCGATCATGCCAAGCAGATGCGAGAACTCCTCTCTGGGTGGGATGTTAGAGATGTCAATGCATTAGTGGAGGAATATGAGGGAACGTCAGCATTAAAGGAGCTTTCTCTACAAGCCAGTTTGGCTAGACCAGAAGCCCGGACATTGCAGAAAGATATGGCTGATCTTTATGAGTACAAGTATTGTACTGATGTAGACTTAATATTTCAAGAAACTTGTTTTCCTGTTCATCGTGCCATTTTGGCAGCAAGGTGTCCATTTTTTAAAACACTGCTTTCTTCCTCACCTGAGTATGGGGCAGAGATAATAATGGACATCAATACAGCTGGTATTGATATGCCCATGTTTTCTGCTTTGTTACATTACCTTTATACAGGAGAGTTTGGAATGGAGGACTCAAGGTTTCAAAATGTCGATATCCTTGTTCAGCTTAGTGAAGAATTTGGAACACCAAATTCCCTTGATGTAGATATGCGTGGACTCTTTGATTACATGTGTTATTATGATGTCGTCCTTAGTTTTTCTTCAGACTCGGAGCTGGTTGAAGCTTTTGGTGGAAATCAGAACTGTTTAGATGAAGAGCTCAAAGCCCACAAGGCTGTTATTTCTGCACGGTCCCCATTTTTTCGAAATTTATTACAAAGGAGGATACGAACTGGTGAAGAAATCACAGACCGAACTTTGAGGACTCCCACAAGAATTATATTAGATGAGTCCATTATACCAAAAAAATATGCAAAAGTGATATTACACTGTATGTATACCGACGTGGTGGACCTCTCTGTTTTGCACTGTAGCCCCTCTGTGGGGAGTCTCAGTGAAGTTCAGGCTCTCGTCGCAGGGAAGCCAAACATGACCAGGGCAGAAGAAGCCATGGAACTTTACCACATAGCACTGTTCTTGGAATTTAACATGCTTGCACAAGGTATGAAGTTCTGGTTTTTAATTCTGATTTCTAGAATTATGTATTGATCTTCCAAATTGAAAACACAACTAGTATTTTCTATGATTTCAGTGTTTGGGATGTTACAGGGTCAGTTTTTTTGAACCTTCATTTATGACATCTGAGACAGATTGAGGGTCAGTATTAATGTGGTTCTTTATTTACTATTAAAATCAAGCATTCAATACTAGTGATTTAAGAGCATTAAATGAGACTTGAGGTTCTTCCTTCCCTAATGTAAGATGATAGGTATGGGAATATATAATTACCGACCTACACCCTCTCCACCCGAGCTTTGAAAGAGCCCAGTTTCCCACATTTTGAGTCTCATATTTATGTTCAGTACCTTGTTGATGTTTAAATGTTTGGATAAGAATAAAAATTCATTACAAAAATGAAGATAGTCACATTTAGATATGAATTTAGTTGAATCAGAATTGGGCAGGGCTTCTGATTTAAATTTTAAAATATTCCTTATCTTATTTTTAGACTCAACTTGTACATCAAGCCACAGCCTACAGCATGTAAAACACAGCACTAGATTCATGTGCCTTCTTCATTTAATTTAAACTGAAATTTTTTAAAATTAGGACAGCACGTTTTTTATGTTATAGGCAAACAAATTCATGAAAGTTACATTAAAAGATGTATATATCTGTTGGTAAATGTTAGAATCTTAACATTTCAGAGCTGGAGAGAGATCTTTTGTAGGAGAGCAAAGGTAGTTTGCTGTTTTGACATTCTTAGCTTTCTGTGACCATATATTAAAAGAAAATACGCTATGTGACAGGAGACTGCTTGAGATTTTTAATTTAGCTAATGCATATTAGCTAAAAGAACATTAGAAGTTGCCAGTTAGAAGAGAATATTAATGGTCTCAGTAAGAGACATGAATTTAAATAAGGAAAGCTAAGTACTGAACTTGAAAATAATATGTATTATATGTTTAAGTCAGCCTATCAATAGGGCTTTGAGAAATTGAAAAATAGCCCCAGTTAAATAACAACATTAAGCCAGTCTCAGTGGTATATGGTTGTAGTGCCATCTACTTGGGAGGCTGAGGCAGGAAGATCACTTGAGGTCAGGAGTTCAGGGCTGCAATGAGCTGAGATCATACCTGTGAACAGCTACTGCACTCTATTCTGGGCAACATAGTGAGAACTCAGCTCTATTTTTTTAAAATCTTAGTAATAAAATGGGAAGTTATATAGAAGAAGACGTTGAATAAACATGAGTGGGAAAATGCTGAGATTTCTTTTACATAAAGAATCTTTTAAAACCTTACTTTACCATAATCCTTTTATAATAGATGTTTTATTTTATGACGACAATCAAAATGTCATTAAAACATTTTATTAGTTTAGAGTAAGAATCATTATATCAGTCATAGACTATTTAGATGTCAAACTGTAGGAAAAATATGTTATCAAAAATAGAGTAGCAGTTTAAGCTGCTGTTTTTTCTGTAAAACCAAATTTGTCAGAAAATGCTTCTACAGAAAAATTTGAAGTTTGCTATATTACCAAAGAGATATAATAATATTTATTTTCTGAAAATATTTTTATTTTTGATGGCTTTTAATAAGAAACAGAATTATATATACTTTGTATGAGAAAACATTCTTTAATATATGTTTTTTAAGTTTTGTTTGTTTTTAAAGATGGAGTCTTGCTCTTGTCACCCAGGCTGAAGTGCAATGGCGCAATTTCAGCTCACTGCAACCTCCGCTTCCTGGGTTCAAGTGATTATCCTGCCTCAGCCTTGTAAGTAGCTGGGATTACAGGCTCCTGCCACCATGCCCAGCTAATTTCTGTATTTTTAGTAGAGACAGGGTTTCACCATGTTGGCCAGGCTAGTCTCAAACTCCTAACCACAGGTGATCCGCTTGCCTCGACCTCCCAAAGTGCTGGGATTACAGGCGTGAGCCACCGCACCTTGCAGGTTTTTTTAAAGTTTTAGATGCAAAGTAAAATTGTCAGCCAAGTCTAAGATCTTTGGTAATACTTGATTGTTTATCTAGAGTTTATCTTGAGTTAATTTCTTTTTTTTTTTTTTAGTGTTTAGCTAAAAGTTATATTTTATCCAGTGTATTTAAAGACATAAAATAATACTTTTTGCATTACCTAATCTGGTTACTTAAAACAAGCAAAAAAAAACCTTGTGTACAAATATTCCCTTAAATGTGAATATACATGCTCTTCTTTTTCCCTTTGTTATTCAAAATAGAATTTATTTTTGTTTTGTTTTTTGTAACCCATGTAGGGCATATCTTTCCCCCATACCCATGAAACATTCATATTAAGGTTTATAAAAGACTATAACTTTAACATAATTTTTACCTCATTTCCATAGGAAGAAGAATATTAGGTCACTTGAGGTAGGATTTTATACCATAAAGCTCAAGAGTTCAGGTTCTAGAACCAGACAGACTGGGTTTCAGTTCTTCTCTACTGTGTCTTTCGTTTGACCTTAACTGAGTCACATAGCCTAAGCCCCTCTTTTCTCATTTGTAAAATAAGGATAGTAAACCCTGTAAGTTATGATGATTAAAGGAAATAATATATGTTAAATGATCTGAATAGCACCTGTTAACGTAGTAAACATTCAGTAAATGTTAACTTGTAACTTCGGCTTTCTTTTTTTTTTTAAGAACAAAAGCTCCACTCTATCACCTGGCCTGGAGAGGAGTGAAATGCATCTTGGCTCACTGCCACCTTCCCCTCCCTGTTCAAGAAATCAGTGCCTCAGCCTCCTGAGTAGCTGGATTTAACCAGGTGTGTGAACACCACACCCAGCTAATTTTTTTTATTTTGTATTATTTATTATTTTTGAAGATGGACTGAGCTCCCTGTCGCCCCTGGTTGGAGTTGGCAGTGTGTGCGAATCTCAGGTCACTGAACTCCACTCCTGGTTCAAACAGATTTTCCTGCCTGCCGTCCGAGTAGCTGGGACTAGAAGGTGTAAGCAACCCATTGCCCTGGCTAAATTTTTGTATTTTTGGTAGAGATGGGGTTCACCATGTGGTCAAGCTGGTCT